GTTTCAAGGAACTCTGGGAAAATTTCCAAACAAATAACTTTTCTGGTTCGGGAAGACCAGAAATCTTCAAGAGACCAGATGAGAGGGAAGTTCAAAGACTGCCGAAAGAGTAGAATATTTGGAGATGTGATTAATCTTGTATCTTCAATGTGTCTTTCAGAGTAAACAAACAGAAGAAATCTTAGAACCATATTAATGTTCTATTAGTATCCATACCGTTAAATGACAGAATAGGTGTACTGAAGGGAAACACTGACACTAGTACCCCTTCCCATTTTTTTTTAGAAATGAAAGGACATACCAAGAAAGTAACATCTTGAACTTGGATTGTCCAAATACTCTGAAATTATATGTAATAACTATTTTTCTCCTAAGCCAATTTTATTGCACAAGTCAGCAGTGGTTTAAAGCAAGTTTTGACCTACCTAAATACAAATTGTCTAATAACAATTGAATTGAGAATGGGTTTACTGTGGCCCTGTTTTGAGCTGTGTTCAGTTTTTCCTACATATAGTGAAACCTTGATGTACAAAGCGCTTACTAACTCTTCCCCTGCAAATGGACTTACTTTGCAGTGTTGCACTTGCATGGAAACTGAGTAACTGGTCTTCATTTTTGGTTGGCAATCAGAATTCTGTCATGTTTGTTCCCTTTATCTTTTTATATTTAAGATTCCCAGATATGAGGTCTATCAGATCTTGGAACATATTGTCAGATTATCTAAAGTTGTCTTTTAGGCACATAATCTAAACAGTCCAATTCTACTTCTGCTTATTAAAAAAATAAGCCCATTCAGTGTGGCTTGCTCTTGGATAAATAGACACAGGGTAGTAATGGAAGACTGTATGATTAGTTCGTTATTGCTTTCCTTTCCTTTATCTGTAAGTAGAAATCATAAAAATCACCAAGAATTTTGTCTAAAGTATGGATGTGATGAAAATTTTTTAAACCTGTAAAAATGGAAGATTTTAACATATAGTAGTTCTACCAAGGAAGTAAATATTTACCGAATCGAACTGTTGATTTGGAAAGGAATGGCTCTCTGGAATAAACCCAACACACCCTTTCCTATCAACCCAACGTCTTTCAACCCAACACGAGTTTTAAAATATTTGATGCCACTTTCATATTTTGTAAAAAAGATAAGCAAAATAGGGTTTTGCAGCACAGCGACATCTCAGGGAAGACTTATGTGGTTTTAAATTATGCTTGGTAGCCCAAGACATTATTGCTGCACAATAATGTCTTGGGCTACCAAGATAGAGTAAGAGCCATCTTTCTGTTTTTACCCTAGACTCTAGGGCCTAGAGCAGGGGTGTCAAACTTGCAGCCCATGGGCCGGATGTGTCACATCCTATTTTAGGATACGCCCACCCCTGTTTTAGCAAAGAGGGGAAAAGTCATTACATCACATGATGAAAATGTGATGCTGTGGGTTTGACACCCCTGGCCTAGAGGGTAACAGAACAATTAAAAAATTAAACGCAGCAACTGCAGAAATGCAATAGCTGATGTGGAAGTCAAATATTTCATACCTGGTTACAGAAAGAGATTACTTCTTTGTCTTGGCAGCAAACCAGGAACTCTTTGGCTAAAGGCACATATAGACCTACCTTTTGGCAGAATGAGAGAACCTTTGATGATTTCCAATTCTGAGGATCTTTATGAAACTTGGGGAGAGTGTACTTATTTGTGGTTAGAATTAAAAGGTTAAATGTGAAGGATAGGGATAACAGTCAAAACTTACGTTTCAAAGTATAAATGGTTTAAGCACTAGTTGAAGATAAGACATGGGGGAACTATTTCTCAGCATAGTTTTTCAGAACTATGTGAGACAATGACAGGTCTCCTTTTGCAAGCCTTGCTGTAGCTTTAAAGCTATTCAGACACTGACTTATAGCACAAGGATGGGCATCATTATACTCCGCCCCTTTTTATAACATTTTCATTTCCATGGGAGCTAATATACTTGCAATGGAATAAGGAGAGAAACCAACAATGGAACTGATTCTTTGTCTGAGCAAACGTAAGTTAGATAAACCAACTCTGGCAAGAGAAGGGTCATGCTTTAAGTAAATGCAATTATAGACAAAGGAGCTAGCATTTCACTGATCAAAATTTAACACATCAGAAAAAATAATGAACATGATGTTCAAAATATTAAAATTCAATACACGCACCTAGAAGATTAAAAAAAAGGCAAAAAGATTCTAAGAAGAAGAAATCTGGAACACTATTAAAGTTTTTAATTGCAAAAAGAAAAAAAAGCCTAAAGATAATCTGAAGGCTTCAGACACGGATGTTGTGTTTCACTTATTAAATAAAGCTAATTTCAATGTAACTTGGTAAGGAGGAGAGGAGTTAACATGGTAGCATAACCAAGTGTCTTCTTAGGAAGTGGTTATGGTAGCATAGCCAAGTGGCTGACAGAATGAACCCATCATCCATAAATAGGTCTCCTCCAAATAGATTATCTTATTTCTTTAACTCACCAGATAGCCTTCAACATTGTTTTTCCTTCCTTTCTCACCCTACTCTCAATGTTCCTCCTTATCTGTAATAGGGACACAATATTAGTTTTCTTTTGAAGTGGTTTGTGAAGAACATAGCAAACTATTTCAAATATTGGAGCACTAAAAATGTGTGTTTTAAACATATTTAGGTGCCAAATTAATTGAATTTCAATACAACAACCCCAAAACACTTTGTAACTGTACTCAATAGCATTCCACAACTCATTTGTTAACTTTCCTTAGGTCACACAGAATGTAGAACATTCTGAATACTAACAACAATTAAATTCACCCACAGCCATTTAAAGTGGTGAAAACATGGTGTAAACAAAAATAAGCTCTGATGCTTACTCTAATTGTAGCAAATGCAGACACTGCATCTCCACCAGCAACAGTAGCAAATATTCTGCACAAAAGGTTACTCATTAGGGAGATTTACTGGACTGCTTTCTGTTGGGGGAGGATGAGACACAACCACATCCCCATTGCTGATGTTGCAGAGGAGAAATGCTTATAATGTGCAATATAAAAGTTGTGAGATTGTACATGAGGTGCCTGTAAACTTAAAGAAATACTGATAAAAACTAATTCAAAATAATCCAAATGTTCATTGTAAGATTTCCCCCTCCAATTGTATGCTTTAGAAGATTATTTCTTGACACAATATATGGTTTGCATTTAATCTGTTAAATTGAAATGGTGCTGCACTAACTTGCTAACATTAGAATTAAGCCTTGATTCCCATTGTAATTGAAAGTGAGCATTTCAAATTGCTTCACATATAGGGAGGTATAATTTTGACTTTAAAGAAAATTGGCCTTTTTAAATTAAAGGAAGCCTTTAGTTGGGCTTGGTTTCTGTTATTCTAAGAGGGAAAAAGTCTTCCTTGCTTTTGACCAGCTTAACATATGCTTTCTCTGACATAGCGCCTTTGTGCTATTATGCAGCAGATTGGATCTAAAACTTAGGAGGGAGCCTGACCTGTCTGCATTTTTTAGTCCTTCTCCTCCCCTGTCCTTTATTTTCCTTCTTTGAGCTATCCATGGGCAGAGGACTAGACTGCAAGAGAAAGACACCAGGTATTAGCTTGCACAGACAATGAGATGGTATCTCACAAAAGGCTCCCCACAGCAGTGACGGCTCAGCAGCTATACTTAGTACAAAGAAAAACCTAGTCTCTGTTGTTTGGGGCTTTTTTTTTATCTTTAGATTCAATTCTAGTTAAATCTTTTGAAGGCACTGACTGAAATACTAGTGCCCTTATAATCCCTCCCTCTGCTCCTGTGAATCCAAACTATTCATGGATGATCTAATTGAATATGTGCAGAAGGGGGGAATTGCCAATGATGATATACTTTGGCTTTAATAATAATCTTGGTGTCTAACACAGCATTGCATCTTAATACATGATAAATTAAAAGCAAGTAATCATAGCACTAATGAATAATAGATCAGCTATAATATTAAAGGAAAATAATGGTCACTTTTTCCACCATCTATACGTGACTAACATTGGCAATCCAGCACATTTGATTTAATTTTGAGAGGCCATGTCTCATTGTGATGACAGAAGATTCATTAAAAACTTATTGATATTCCCAACTCAACCTCTGTATCAGATAAAGGGTAATGATAGAATTACTCATTCGTTCCTCAAGTTAAAAACAAAGACTTATTATCATGATTCTCAGATTCCATTAGGCTGCTTTCTTGCTGAATTATTTGAAGCCATAGTCAGCAGAGAAAAGGAATTTAACTGCAAAAAGTGTATCTATAACTATCACTGTACTTTATAAAGGTTAAGAAAGAGCCCAAACAAAACAATTCTTTTTCACATTTTCTGCTCAAGGGGAAATGGGATTCCCTCTTGAGAATCAACATCCAGGCCAAATTCCTGCATCCATACATCAGTATATGTACAACAAACATCAATACAGAGGTACACATTACACACACAATCACAAACTAGACAACATTCTAGATAATTGCTCAGACATAATGAAAAGGCAGGTTAAGCAAGCATATTAATATGAAAGTAGCATAAATTCTGGGGAGGAAATTAAATTTAGATTTAGAAATACTAGCTGGCTTTGATTTTTAAGGATGCTAAACATAAGGCTCTGACTTTACAAAAATTTACACCTTACAGCATAAGCAAAGAAGTTCAGTTGAAGAGACGAAAATAGTGCTAGTAAGACATTGACACAGAAACACCAATAAAAGCTTTCAGGCAGCCATAATGAAGCATTAGTGCAAGGATGTCAAGTTGGTTCAAATAAAATACTAAAACAAACTAAAAATAATCATAGAGGAGACAGCAAGGAAAGCATATCTACCCAATACAAACACAGGGAAACATAAAACATACACAGATATTTGGGTGGTCACTCATTTAATTCCATATTTTTGAAAGCTGCTGCTGCTGATACAACAGCTATCTTACGTCCATAAACTCCACCCGCCCTTTATTTGGTTTCCCATTTTCAGAAAAATCTAGTTATATTGAGGAAAAGCCATCTTTCCGCTGACCAAAGAATCCAGATAGGAAAACAATTGAAAACTCATTGTTGGTCCTTGTATCAGCTTGTAAGTAACTTTCTTTTCCAAGATTCTTTAAAAAAAAAAAATACTTACCAGAATACCTGGAGAAAGGGGATGTTAAAGGGAGCAAGTTTCCAGCTAAAACAAAGAAGCAAGCTAAAGAGAAAGAAAGTGCAAGTGAGAGATAGAAAGCACTCTTTAGAGAGGAGAAAAAGAAAAGGGAGGTAGCCAGTGAAACCAATTTCATATGAAGGAAGAAAAAAAAGAAGGTCCTGAAAAGTTAGAAAAAAAGAAATGCGAATGTAAGGACCAAGACTATGTGATAACTACATTTCAGTGAAAAAATGATTAGAATCCAGGGAATTATTGGTGTGCAGTAGTAAGTTTGTTATCATGTGTAGAACCAGTACAGATTTTGAAGGTATCAGAAAAGTGATCAGAGTACATATATATTGTGGGGTATTGTGGAAGATACTGTACTAATAGTGGAGTTCCACTCTTAGCATCTTCATATATTTTGGTCACTGTCTATTTAAATTGTTAGGACGTGTACAATCAGGTTTATGAATGTTTTACTTATAATTATCAATGGAAATACTGTATATACTGAGATAAAATACAAGAATAATGACTCTATTACTCTTAAAGGTTATGGATTTCTTGAAATAAATACTTTTGGGAATTAGTTTTAAATTGAGACAAAAAGGTTTCTGGTTCCATAACTTTCAGACAAACCTACTAAAAAATTATAGGCTAAATTACCAGCTGCCCAGAAAAAGGAAGAGGTCTAAATAATATGCTAATTAAAAAGTGCCCCAAAATGTTGATGGAGTTAACATAGGCTTGCTTTCTTGGTGAACTGTGATAAGTAAGAATCATAATCAGACACGGAAGCTCTGCTTAGGCAAATATGCAAGTAAGAACCACTGCTTTTTATACATTGGGTTAGCATAATGAGAGGACATATTTATTTATTTGCAAGTTGGATCAGTTTAACGGGAAGGCATATTTTGGAAATACTCTGCATGAAAAATGACCTCTCCGATTTAAGCTCCTTTCAAGCTTATTATACTAACTTTTTAGAGCCAGACTTGAAATGAACTTGGCTCTTTGCCACATAATGACATGAGCAGTTTCTCTTCGTAGTATTTAACCTACCCAGAAGACATTATAGGAAAGTAGTATAAAGGCACAATTAAGTAAAAAAAAAAAAAAAACCTTTCCCCCCTATAGATAAAGTTTGCCTTTAATATGATAAAATTCAGGGTCTATTCCTGAATCCAATTGCTGATTTGCTGTAGTGAAAATACTGCATTTTATTACTGCCAGCAATGTACAATAAATTCTATGCCTTCTGCTTTATTTTTTAGATGCCCATAAACAGTGGCGTTGTTCTTCTAAAAGATCATAGTCATGCATATAATTGCAGCGGTGCCATATTGCTTGCCCCCACTCCAGGGATCATACAGCTCCAACTTTTGTGGGTAACTATCTGAGGGGGGGAATTGATCTGTTCCTTCCTCATTCTTCTGCAATACCCAAATATCAGGGGATATTGTTATGTCTGGTGACCTAATTCAGATGCTCAAGTCTGAGAATCTCAGAATGCACAATCATTTTATACAATTATATTTTATCTGTCATTTCCTAGAACGTGAAAATAATCATTTCATATGTAGACAAATAGAATCCTCCTACCAAAACATAGTTTACAGGAATGCCCTGGTTCAAGGACAGACAATAAAGCATTGAACACTGAGTGTATCTTGGTACTTGGTATCTGATCCTTAACATCACTCTTACCAGTGATGGTTGAAACACATAATGGGAGACATATAAAGTCCTAGATGCTATAAAGGAATCTTTCCATCTTCTCATATTTTTTTACAAGTTGTTTTATTGTTAACGCTGCCTGTGATTTTAATGCAAACCCTAATGCCTCTGTTAGCAAACAAAGAACAGCATATACCTGAGCTAGTCCCCTTGAATTTATTAAATGAAAGATTATTAATGCTGATGATGAATCGGGGAACTACTCTCTTTTGCTTGTTTTAGGACAGAGCCCATTTTCTAGGAGACATTAAGCTTCCAACAAGCAACCCTTGATACACTCCTTAGTATCAGTGCCTAGGAGGAGGCTTCAAGTGCTTCTGGCTCTTTTGTTCCTCAAGGATTCTATTTCAAACCAGTCTAAAACCACAAAAATGAATGAGCTCTTTTTCTTTTTTTACAGGAGAGACGGGTCGCCAAGGTGGAATTGAAGTGATATGGTGGCTTGATAAGACAAGCGCATACTGTGACCAAGATAGTCTTCATTATTTACACAGACATTGCTACTTGCTGTACTTTTCACACATCAATAAACAAATGTTCAAATTTTGTTCCAGACATTCTATAAATGACTGGGGTTTAGCAAAAAAATATTGCAGTTTTGAAAAAAGGAACTCTCCTTGACATACATGCAGACTGAATTACTCACAAGGCTGCTTGTCTAACATATTGTGATTACTGAAAGACTTCTCTAACTTCTGCCTACTGTGAATGATTATTAGGCAAATCTACAGGTTGAACATCAGAGCAGGTCCTTTTCTCTATGCATGATCAAACTCTAAGATAGATAGATCCTTATTTGACTACATCAGGATGTCCTCCCACACCCTAGAATAAGAATGGGCAAAAGATTGATTGGAACGATACCATATCACACATTAAATTGCCAAAAAAAGTTGGGGAACCAAAAGTGAGTTTATATGTAAAAGAACTATGAGTGCCATCATGTTCTGATATGAGAGATTACTGTGTTCAATACAAGAAAATACCTATAGCGATATATACCGTTTGCATCAACTTCCAAATAACAGGCACTGTGGTTTTTTAAAAAAATGTAAAAAGCGGATTCCCAAAGCCTGAATTCTATTCATCTCTAGACCTTGCATGAGTTTTTTTCTTAAAATGTGCCTTTTATGCTAAAAAATTATTGTGTTCCAATTTTCAGTTTAGCTTCTTTCCCCTTTATCTTCAAAGTAAGCACACTTCTAAGGAAAGAGTCTATTGTGTCGGAGCTTTCTCTAGCATTGCAAACGTTCCTACAACTTGGAATAGTAAGCAATATGAGTATGTGGGAGCAGAGGCTCCTGACTGAAGGTTATGTTCTTTCTTCTAGATAACTTATGAAAACATACAAAACAGAGAGACACAAACACATACAAAAACAGAGAAAGAGAAAGAGGAATGTTAATATTATTAGCAAACGCTCAGAAAGATATCTTAGACAAAAATCTCAATTCAGAAAGAAGAAAAGATAGAACTGGCAAGGAAGTGGCCAAATTCTGATTTTAATTACAAACATTTAGGTCAAAAGGACTTGCTTAACATCAAGGATGAAATGGCCATAAAATGCAAACTAAGATCAGAATATGGTCCTTTGGCATAAAACCAGATACTATTGGAGAGTTTAGGGCGCTCCATATCAGAAAGTATGTTCAGAGGGGTTTTTTCCCCCCTGTTTAATTACTGCAGTTAATTTGAACTGTTCTACTTATACGTAGCTGACCCAAGGGGGGGGGGGCGGAATCAACACCTTCCATCCGAATAAATCAAAACCAGGATCTCCACTGTGAGGTAATGATGCTGCTATCGCCCCTCCCCCGCCCGGCACCAAGCTTTCTCCTCCGAGATTGAAAAAGGAAACCCGCTGATGCTCCCCAGCCTCTCCCGAGGGCACTTTTCGCACATCGTAACATTTTTCGATCTTTTGTGCCTGCATTTATAAAGCAAAAGAAGCGCCGGCTGCTATAGGTTTCTGCCCTACTCCGACATGATGGTTACCTTTCCAAAGACCCGACTCAAGCAGAAGGACTGGGGGGGGGGGAGGCGGAGAAGGAGGCGGAAAAAGGGATCCCGCTAGTGAGAGTTTAAGCTCAGGAGAAGAAAGAAAGTTAGTTCGGGATCCAACGTCTCAGAGCTGCCGGTCTGAGTGTGAGTCTTAACACTTCCCCGGAATTTATTTATTTTTTTGAACCTACTTTCAAACTCTCTGGCTGCCCATCTGAACGCGCCTTCCTGTCCCTTCTTGTGAGATGCACAGCTTCCCTTTCCTCAACAATGCCCCAAAGATCTGCTGCTACCCAGAGCATCTTCCTCCCGGGCTGCGAGTCGGCTTAAGGAAGAGCTTCAGACGCACCAAGGATCCTCTCTCTTCTCTCTCTCTCTCCCTCTCCCTCTCTTACACACCCACCGCCCCTTTCGTCTTTGGCCCCTCTCTTAGCACCTCTCTCCCCGCTCTCCCTTTTCCGCAGCCCTGGAAGCCTCGCTCCCGCTCCCCGCCTCAGCCTTCCTTCGCAAGATCGGTCCTGAGACTCCCGGCTCCGAAGCACCAACACGCCCCAAAAAGAGAGGCTGGGGCTCCTCTCTTTCCCGCTGAAGACTCGCTCTTTGCAGGAGAGAAAGAGAGAGAGGGGAAAAAAAAAATCCAACACGAGGTCCGGTGCTTTTTTTTTTTTAACCGGCTTGGAGCTTTCCAAAAAAGAAAAAAATGACAGTTCAATCTCCCTATAATAAAGAGCCGTTTAACCTGCTCTACCCCCGGAGCTGGGAAGTCGCCCTCAGCCACCTGGGCAAAGGCAAGGCGAACCTGGCCAGAGAGGCAGCCGGTGGTGAATAAGCGGGGGGGGGGGGGGGGGAGAGAGGAGACGCGGACTCCTACCTTGAGCGCCTTTTTGCGGACAGTCCCCGGTGCTGCCGCCGCCGCTACTGCCGTCCTGTCCTCTCTGGCAGAGGTGAAGAAGGGACCCGCTCGCCCCCTGGCCGCCAGCTTCCTTTGCCTACCTCTCCTCCGCCCGCCCACCCTCTGCCCGGACGAGCAGCGGGAGGGGGTGCTGCCGAGAGAACAGCCTCTCTCTCTCTCTCTCTCTTTCTCTTGCTTTCTCCCCCCCCCGCAGTCTCATTTTGCAGCCCGCAGTGATGAGCTCGCTCCTTCTGCCTGTCATTCATTTCCCTCCTCTCAACTCTCCAACGCGGCGCTTCGCTCGCCTTTTCCAGAGTCGCTGCGCCGCCGCCGCCGCTGCTATACCCGTCCTTGCTTACGGGCTGCTGCAGAGCCGCGGCCGAGCGGGAGGAAACGCTCGGTCCGAGAGAACAAAGCGGCTAGTGGCAGGCACCGCCGGCCCGCCGGCCGGCCAGCCAATGAGAAGCCGCGAAGGGCATCAAAAGGGGACCTTTACCTGCGCTCCATCCGTGTGGAAAAGCGCGGAGGGAGGGAGGGAGGGAGGGAGAGACAGACGTAGGGAGGACTTTCTCGGGCGGCGATGAGGGGTGGGTGGTGCCGGGACCTCTCGGGTCGTTGTCGTCAGTACACAACTCCTGGGCCCCAAAATTCTGGAGGGGCGGCTAGGAAGGAGCCCTCCGCACTTTCCACCTCTTCCCTTAGCAGCCTTTATGGGCTCTTTCCACCCCCACCCCCCACCTCCTTCCTTCGGTTGACTCAGGCAGGGCTCGGGGAGATTGATATGGTAATAAGCGCGGGGTGGCCATACTTTCTCATTACTGTGGAAACCGAGGGGGGTAGGGAGTTCAGGACAAAGGCCGTAAGCGAGGAGAACAAAACCAGTGGCTGGCCCTGGAATGTCTGCCATTTCTCTCTCTCTCTCTCCCTCTCCTCGCGGCCGCCTCCTCCTGCTTTTTCTTTTTCTTTTCTTTTCTTTTCTTTTTTTAATTCAAAGCGCCCATTTGCAAAACATAAAGGGACAAGACCGCTGCGGGAGAGGACAAAAAAAAAAAAAGAGAGAGAGAGAGAGAGAGAGGAGGCGAGCGAGGAGGTCCCTTCTCCCTTCCACTCTTGTCTTCCCGGAACGCTTCCCCTGCTCGTCAAACCTGCAGTAGAAATGCTCGTGTAATGGAGCTCGTTAAAGTTACCCCACATGGAGTTTTAAAGGGAGGATTGGGGGAGGGGCAGTGGCAGAGGAAGCGCCAGAATTTGCTGACAGAAATGGGCGCCGTCCTAGTTTTAAACGATTCATCCAGGGGGTAGCTAAGCGTTTCTAAGGAAGGGTCTCGGCTATCGAGAAAATAGCCTCTCCCCTCACGTCCCTTTCCAACCGCTTAAGGCGGCAGAAAAGTGTGGACAGGACAGCAGCTTCCAGCCCTGGGGAGTCTTTGCCCCAAACCAGAGACTGCAGACTTGGAAGCTCTCGGCTTCAAACTTCTCAGGCTTCTCTTCACCCAGCATGTTTTTCCACTGGTGGGACCACACTGCTGTAGATGTAGGGGCTACCAAGGCCAGGATAAAGGAATATTCCAAGATTACTGTATATGATGCCCCTTTTGTATATATATTTAGACACAAAAAAATAGAAAAAAGATCAATATTGCTTCCTGTTTAATTATTAGGCAATATTTGTATTTTGTGAAACTTTTTTTTTTTCCAGAGAGGAGTAGATTTCTATACATCTTCTCGATCACAAAAATATAGCTCAGAGGAAAGTGAAAAGAAGCCTTCTAGCATTTCTGTATGGGGGAGACAGGGAGGGAGGGAGAGAGAGAGAGATGTATCTACTTGTGATGGATGTACGTGAAAGATGTTTGGTATCTTTATGTTAACCAAATCACTAAGGTGGAAGTAAATGCTGAGTTTGGAAAACTTACTTAAGGGACAAAGAAATAGCAACATCCTGAAGATATGTCTTAATACCAGAACTGCATTGGTGATATATACTGCTCAAAAAAATAAAGGGAACACAAGCAGAAGACATCCGAGATCAGAATGAATGAAATAGCCTTATTAAATACTTTGTTCTTTACATACAGTAGTTTACACACTGCTCAAACAACTAAAGGGAACACAAAACTACTGTATGTAACGAACAAAGTATTTAATAAGGCTATTTCATTCATTCTGATCTCGGATGCTTCTGCTTGTGTTCCCTTTATTTTTTTGAGCAGTGTATATTATTAGCATTCGCTTCTCATGCCTGATTTTATGGAAACAACTATGACTCAGTGACAGAGCATATAATTTGGAAGTCAGCCTCAGCATCTTCGGTAGAATAAGACTCCCAAGAGCAGGATTCCAATATTTGAACTGCAATAATCCAGGTGAGCACCAGATGGCAGCAAAGATACAGACCAATTCTAACCTTTTGCTACCATCTTGTGGTTGCCTGGATTTTGCAGCTCATATATACTAATCTTGCCAAAGAACCAAATGTAATAGTTTTTAGACAATACAGAGTTGGAAAGATGTGGTCTAACTTAATATAATACAGAATATAGAATAACAATGTTAGAAAGGATCTTGGAAGTCTTCTAGTCCAACTCCCTGTCCAAAAAGGAGACCCTATACCATTCTAAATAAATCTCTTCTTAAAATGTTCCAGTGATGGA